ACCTCCACTGACACAATTTCAGGCCATTCACTTGGGTCCTATCACTGGTCACCACAGAGAAGAGATCAGTGCCTGCCCCTCCTCTTCCCCTCATGAGGAAGCTGTATATGCTGTGAGATCTTTCAGTCTCCTCCAGACTGAGCAAGCCAACAAACTTACCATAACTTCAAGTCCTGAGTCCATCTGTATGCTGGACATTTTGTCCAGCAGGATCTTGTGAGAGACAGTATGGAAGGTTGTACTGAAATCCAAGAAGATTACATCAGCTTTCTTTCCTTGATCAACTAGGTGGGTTACTTTGTCATAAAAGGAAATCAGTTTTGACATACAAGACTTTCCTGTCATGAAACCATGCTGGCTGTGTCTGGTAAATGCGTTGTCTTTCAGATGCTTTTCAATAACATCTAGAATAATCTTCTCCAGTTACCAGCCACTGAAGTGAGACTAACAGTTCTTTATCTTTTTGCTTAAATCCTTGACTCTGAATATGAGTCCATGTTTCTAGATCTGAAAGTAAGGACAGTTTTAGTCCCCGTTAATAAGTGTTGATAGATGGGTAGACAATGCTGAGCTACCAGAATGGGATCCAAAACTCCTGGTGTGCTTTTCACTACTGTAATTCAGGCAGTAAATGTCAGTGGTCCCCTCTGTGAAGCTGTTTCTCTTACTGGATGACTTAGGAAGTCTTAGCCATTTCTCAGACTGTAAACTCTTGATAGTGATGCTTCTTTAGGAGGGGTTTGTGTATTTGTTTACAACACAGCAAATACAGGAAGGAGAGCTGTATTGGAGCTCTGCTCTTAAAAGTATTTTTATCTAACTACCTCGGGTTAGTTTGGACCTTCCTATTTACTACACTGGTGTGAAAAGCAGGGTGTTATGTCTTGTTCTGTGTGCTGTGTCTTCTGAGCACAGAAGACCTTTAAAAATTTGCCTTCTCAGTTGGAAAGAATCTTTGAAGTGAGAGTCCTGGCTTTCTACAGCATCTTTATGTAATTTGTGCTTAATACAGCTGTTTTCTAGGGATGCCAGAGGTAATGGCTGTTCAATACCTCACTAATCCAAGCCTAGGGAAAAAGGAAAGGAAACTTAGGAAAGAAGTTCCTATGGCTAGGTTAAGGTTCAAAGTTTGTCTTTTGAGATACTTTTCTCCAGTCGTGGCTCCAATATATTCTAATGGCTGGAGCAACTCTATTCACTGAAAAGAAACCGTGGAACAGAAGCTGTGTTGTGTCTCTGGGGTACCCCTTTGTAGGTGAAACCATCAAATACAGCACTGTGGGACCAGTTGACTCTGTGTGCTCACCACTGTCCCAACAATTGATGCTCTGCATAGTTTAGAGATATTTTTCTTTAAGGTTACATATTGGGATCTGAAATCCATTCCTTGCAGGACAGTTTGCTGTCATTTGCCTAATGGTTTCTCCAGAAGAAATATGTGCATTGCTGTAGAAAGCAAAGGATATATTACTTTAATTTTTTTAGTCAGTTTCTCTGTATCCTACTCATAATGTTTTTGAAATATTTATGAGTGATAATAATTTAGGAATAAAAGTCATGTCTTTGGTAAACTATTTATCTCTGCAAGATGGAAGACTCTAATGCTTCTTTAAACTTTTGTAGGCCTTGAAAGTTTGAACAGCAATAATAAGACTGGCTGTGCTAAGACAGTCTCTACAAACCCAGAATAAAAATATGGAGTGGAAGGTTTGACAAAGCAGTTCATTCTCACCCCTCTCACCTTACAAAATGCAAACTTTTTTTTACTGATGAACTTTATTTAAAGCGAATGAAGGTTCTCTTTTCTTAAAAAATTGGTTGAAGTTTAATGGAAAGGGACATTACTCAAGCACACATTTGGGTTCTAAAACTCTCCTACATAGTATTAGAGAAGGCAGAAGGTTTTCAAAATTTTAAGGAAGATATACTTATGGGAATAGTTTCTGCCTAATTATGTAGGACAAAAGGACAAATCTCATGGGTACTATTTCAGCTATGGGACTGGTAGTTTCTTTAAATACAGGGTAGTTAATGTCCCTTGTTTGATAAACTCCATGAAAATGTTTTTTTGCTTGACTGTGATTTTAAAGAAGCACACTGTGTGAGATAGGCAGCTGAAGGGAAGAAGTCCAGAGGAGCCTCAGGAGCAGTTCCCAGGCAAAAGATGAGAGTGGCAGCCTGAGTTGTCCACTGCTCCAGGGCATGACAGGAGGGAATAAGCCATTGGGTTCCAGAGAGACCTGACAAGGTGTCTCCAGCTTCCTCCACAGGCTGGGGTGTATTGGATTACACTGGTCTGCAGGTCCTACTTGAATGGCTTGTGACCTGTATGCAGATCAGGGTCTGGCATTTGGTTTTGCTTGGCTTATGTTTGTGATCCAAACAGTCTTCAGATACATATTTGTGTGCAAAGAGCCCCCTTCCCTCTCTGTAGGAAATCCTACCTTTTTTCTCTCTGCTGGAAGTTGAAAGGGAGCATGGGCATCCACAGGTCAGCCCTGTCCCTTAGGCTTGTTTGGGTGTGGGGGCCTTTGCATAGGATACTTAAACACATGCGGCACATCCTGATTCCTCCTTGTTCTCTTTACACAGTCATAGATTCACAGAATAGAACCATAGAATCATTTAGGTTGGAAAACAGCCTTAAGATCATCAAGTCCAGCAGTAAACCCAGCACTGTCAACCTTGTACTTAAGCTCTACATTTACACATCTTCTAAATACCTCCACAGGTGGTGGCTCAAATACTTCCCTGGGCAACCTGATACAATGTGTAATGACCCTTTTGGTGAAGAAATTTCTCATAATACCCAATCTAAACTTCCCCTGGCACAACTTGAGGCCATTTTCCCATCTTGTTGATTGATACCTCAGAAAAGAGACTGACCCCCACTTGGCTACAACCTCCTTACAGGTGGTTGTAGAGAGTGATAAGGTCCCCCTGAGCCTCCTTTTCTCCAGGATAAACTTCCCCAGTTCCCTAAGTTGCTCCTCATATGACTTGTGCTCCAGACCCTTCACCATCTCCACTGCCCTTCTCTGGACACACTCCAGCACTTCAGGGTCTTTCTTGAAGTAACAGGCCCAGAACTGAACACAGGATTCAAGGTGCAGCCTCACTAGTGCTGAGTACAGAGGGATGATCACTGCCCTGGCCCTGCTGGCCACAGTATTGCTGATACAGGCCAGGATGCCATCTGGGCATCTGTATCTGGGCACCGTGCATGCTCACATTCAGCCAGCTGTCAACCATCTCTATAACTTGGGTGTTGGCCTATATTCAAAGCAAAATAAATGTAAATATCTGCAATCTTCTCTTTCCTTCTGTTTTTAAGATAATCTTGTGACGTTCCCCACTATTGCCTCTCCATCAAGTTATGGAGTTGTTAGTAAATTCACTTAATCCAGAAGTTTTCATACCTACAAGAATTTTTGCAGCAGTGTAGAGCCTTCTCTCCAGATTCCAACAAAATATTTTAGTTACTACATTTACAACTACTATGTAAGAAATGTTGTTTTGTCTGTCTGTTTATCTGATGCCATGTTTTCCACATAAAAAAGTAGAGGCATATAAATAGTATAATTAAAAATATATTTCATGTGTTTTACATGATACCTTCTCTTTGCAGGAACTCTAGCTTTCTTCAGTGGTGCATTTGATGTTTTGCACTGGCTCTCAAAAACCACTTTGTAAAAGTGGTATTTAAGTAGTGTTCCAGAGACTGCATGAGATAGCCTGCTCAGCTGCTCTGTCTCTTCTCTTTCAATCTGTAAATATAAGAGGTCTCTTCATAGCGGTAGAAATGTAGCAATGGTAAACAAAGTTCTGCAAATAATATTCTACCGTTTCTACAATTAATACTTCTGTCTGGTGTAACACAGGCTAAGATAAAACTATTTGTCAGAAGTCTTGGTTTATTTTGGGTAGTAGTGTGTATGTATTATCCAGACCTGGTTTGTAGAACTCTCTTCTATGGATTATTTCTGAAGAGGAGTCTTTCATAATGGACAGAATTGAATATTTATATTGATGACCCAGAGTAAGATAAGTCCTTATTAAGATAAGTCCTTAGTTTATTACAAAGGGAAAAAGGACACTAAAAACTATGTATTCATGGCACTTGCACTAGGAAATAAGCAATCTATTAGCAAACAAGCTTGGGAGGAAACTCATATTTGGATAGGCAGCTTATATCATTGGAGACTTTCTTACCTCTGCAATTTCTGAGATAGTAGTGCTACAATCTGATTTAGCAGTTGCTGTATTCCTAGAAGCATTGGGTCAGATCTTCAGTGTCTTGATTGTAGATAAATGGAAGGAAATCTCCCCTAGGTAAGGTACTTCCATTAGGCAAGAGTCAAGTACAAAGAAAAAATTAAATTATGTTTGAATTTTGTTATAAGCAACTTGATCTTTATTGTGCTGAACCGATTTGCTTATGGAGAGAGTTCAGCTTTGTTAGGAGATCTGGATATCTAATGCAGAGCTTCTGTTATTTTTCAGCCAACTTTCTAACTTCATCAGTTTTGGTTCTTTGTTCCTCTTCCTGAAATCTGTAGACCAGTTGTATTGTGCAAACATGAAAAAAAACCCAACCTAAAGTGAAGAATATTTTCTTTCTGTTGTGAATGATGTATTATGCCATGTTCATGCATTAAAAATTATCCAAAAAAGCATGGTGGAATAGCAGGGGAGGGTGACTTCGAAGTACTTTGTCTCCTTCTCTTTTACACTGCAATGTGAATTAGCCTTTTTCACTCAAATACCCAAACTTACAAAAACCCTAAGCTAGGTGGAGAGTGTCATTCTGTTTCACTGAAGACTGTGTTGAGTTTGATTCACTGCTACATTACAGGAGGAACTGTAGCAAAACCTTCTGGTAATAACATGAAGAGCTGCAGAATCAGGACCTGTATCAGTTTTAATACAGTTTGCAAAGAATGTGAATGTTGGATTTTTATTTTTTTCCCCTCATCAATATTTTTTTCCCTTTTCAACAGGGTCTACTCTGTGTAGCTATGAACTGCAGTCATCAGAATATACTACAGACCCAAGGGCTGCCAAGTTATGTCCTAAATATCCTGTTCCAGAGAGGTAATATTAACATCTTGTCTGATTGGGGATGGAGGGAGCAGAGATTTGGTTTGATTGTGACAGTTCTTTAGAAAATACCCAGCACACATTTACTCTTACCAGATGTTTTAGTGTATTTTTAAAACGTTGTGAAAGTAACTCTTAAAGAAAAACCCAGACTGTCTGTGCATGTGTTACTGAGGGTATTGAGCTGGTATCTGCAGGTTCTCTTGTGTCTCATGTGACTGACATTGTACTGTATCAGCTGCTTTACTGCCTTTCACACCATCTATAGCCAGCTGCCTTTCAGCAATGCAGATCAGAGACAATTATGAAACACTTTTAATCTTCAGGAGGAGAAAGTATATAGGGACACACAGCTCTCTGCAGCATTCACTTCTTATACCTTACCTCAGCCAGACAGATGAAAATTGCTTCATTTTTTACTCTTTTAGTCCCCAAATGACTAATATGAGGATAGTCAAGCACCAAAGAGATGACTGTATTTTATAAACAGATCATTTTGAATTTTATTGTTTTAAATATTATGTTAGACTGCTTTTTGTGAAATAGGATAGAAAAGTTGATAGCTTAATAAACTCTTCTAGCTGTGCTCACTGGACCTGTGGAGATGAGTGTTGCTGAGAAAAGAAGTGATCTGTAAGCTGTTGTGCACACCCTTCTGTCAGTAATTCCACTAACTCAAGAAGAACCATGTTGTGTTTTCTCAAAGTTTAGCTTCTCAAACGTGCTCATTAGTGGGTTGTAACTGCAAGTCTTTTCCTATGAATAGTTTTCTGTTATGGTTTTAGTAAATATTATGTTTGTGTCAGTTCTAGAAACTCTAATTTGAAGTCTTTCTTGTTTACATGTTAGTGTCTCCAGCGAATATTTTTTTATATTGTAGTGACAATTAGTGGCATCTGAAATATTAACTTTTTTTTACTATTCCCCACAGTAGATTCATATTCCATGCAGCTAAGCAGCTGTTATAGCAGTAATACAAAACCAAATGAAAATTTCAGTGCCAGCTTGCATACTGAAAAGGCTTGTTAGTCTTAATTTTTGCCAGAATTATATTGACTTTTCTGATTGTGTGTTCCCATGTCATTCAGTCTCAATGAATATGGCTTAATAAGAAAACAGAAGGATAGAACAATGTGTCAGAGCTCTAATGATGCTATTTAAATTCCTCACAGAAATGACCCTAAGTTCTTTTTAAAAACCTATTGTGTAAAGTGGAGTATTTTCCATTTTCTATGTGATATTACTAAAATGTACGCTATGTTTGAGTATTTTTGAGATTGAAAAGTCTGAATTTAGTACCCTAAGACAAAAAAGGCCAACATTGTATCTGTAAAGCACCTTTCTTCAGGTTTTTATAGTTAAATTATTTGAATAAGTTAGTGTAATTTGGAGGAGAAATGAAGTCAGTCATTTGTTGAGACAACCAAATGAAAACCCAACACCTTGTAGACTGAGGCACTCATGGAGAACTTACCTAACACTCAGATTTGATCTGTGTCTTGGTTTAACCCCAGCCAGCAACCAAGCACTATGCAACCACTTGCTCACTCCATCAGTAAAATCAGGCAGAGAATCAAAGGGTGAAAGTGAGAAAAGCTGTGGGTCCACACAGACAAACAAAGGAAAACAAGGAATTAATTCACTGCTTCCCATGGGCAGGCAGGTGTTCAACCATCTCCAGGAGAGCAGGGCCCCATCAGTATATAACACATAATGGTTTTGTGGGAAGACAAACACCATCACTCCAAATATCCCCCCTTTCTTCCTTCTTCCCCCACTTTATATGCTGAGCAGGATGTCCTATAGTCTGGAATATCCCTTTGGTCAGCTGGGGTCACCTGTCCTGGCCGTGTCTCCTCCCAGCCTTTCATGTAGCTCCAGATCCCTCCCCACTGTGGCAGTACAAAAAGCAGAAAAGGCCTTGGCTCTGTGTAAGCCCTGCTCAGCAATAACAAAAACATCTCTATATTACCAACCCTGTGTTCAGCACAAATCCAAAACACAGCCCCATGCTAGCCAGTGCCAAGAAAATTAACTGTACCCCGGCTGAAACCAGCGCAATCTGTCAGGAGTTATGAACCATCTGATTCCCATGATGTCCATGGGAGGGAGGTAGCATATGGTGTGAGGACTGTCCATTGATGTTTTCTGTTTGATGACCAGACTTCTTCACACCCTTCGGTTGAGGGTCTCAGTGGGTTCTTACCGTCCAGCTTCAAGGCATTATGTCCAACTTTGACAGAGCAGTGTGGTCAGCGATACGTGTTTCTTCCAGAAACCATACCCAGCCTGCATCAGCCTCAGGAGAGCATGACTTCCCTGTTTTGAGGACCCTGGAGGAAAACCTGTCCAGTTCCTTCAGCATTTATCTGTCAACCAGATGTGTTGAGCTGTGCAAGGGGCTGCCCCGTAGAGGTTATGAACAGCAGCATTTCAGCCAGGCTCCCCTCACAAAGGTTGCTGTATTTGCCCAGGGGCAGAAGTGAGAGGAGAAAACTCTCTGGAATCTAGTACTTGAATAATCAGATGGATCTCCTAACTTAATTTGAATATTGCTTTAAAAATGCAACTTCTAAGTCCATTGTGTGCTGGCTTGAACTTTATTCGTTCTTGTTTATGAATAAGCATCATGTTGCTATTCTTAGAAATTTGTAATTCCTTTTCAGTAGGTAACATACCAAGATATAATCAAGAGGCCATATAAAATAGCATGGGTCATGGAGAATAGATCTATTATTGTATTTTTTATTAAGACACTTCACCTCACATACTCATTCAGTCAGAACCACTGAAGCAGCAACAGATCTCAGGTGGATTTTCAGGAGTCCCATTTGCTCAAGAAAGCTTGTAGAAACCACTAACCTCATTTTTTTATTATTAATTAAAACAAAGTTAGCAATTAATCACTGCACATGAAAATAAGTAACTTAAAATATTTAGTAAAATTGCTGTAGGTTAAGGGATATTAGATGAGCAATAATATAAACTGTCACGCAAAAAGCATGTTTTCCTCTGTTGGAATATATTCTGGAAGAGTACTTTAATCCAATTAGTTCTTTTTTCAAAATGGATGTTTTTATGTTTGAATGCAGGAATGACATTCTTTTGCCTACTTCCAGCTCAAAATTTGAGTTCTATTACTGATATTGACAACTTCTAAATGCTCTAGGCTTTCTGCAAAATTATAGCAGTTAACAATTAAATAAGCCTCTCAAATTTCAGTCTTTTCCAGTAATACTGCATATAATGAGCTGCAGTACACTGCATATTCCAAAATAGGTTATGTTGTAAGAGGCTGAAAGAATACATGGGCTGCCTTTTAAATGGGGCAGCCATCATTATGAGTTTAATTTGTTTTTTAACAACTGTGACTAATCCACAATTACTTTTTTGCTGTCCTTAACTGCTGTCTTCATTACTACAAAAGTAGACCATCAGTATGAGCATTTCGGAATGCATTTACCTACTGAGCACAGTAAGTTTAGAACAATAAGATTTGCAATCATCAGTGACTAAACAAAAACCTAGGATCTACTAATTACTAAGCGATAGCAGGTGATCATAATTTCTCCCAATTTCTTTACAGAATAATTACACATGAATGGTTTTCAGCATGTCATCCTTTTTTCCCAAAAAACCCAAGGTATAGAAAAGATGTGCCTAAGGCAGCTGCTTTACTCACTACGTGTTTAAAATGATGGTTAGAATTTTGGAAAGGCGTGGGCTTAAAAAGTAGTCATTGAGGACAGAAAATTGCTGGTTTATAGGTCATTACTGAAACAGGGAAACTGCACAAGATTATGTGCATTGGTGCTACAGTCCACTGAAATCTTTTAAGTAACGAAAATTGGGCAGAGTGAAACAAATACAGAGGTTGGAAGAGAAGACTGACATAATATGAAAGACACTTCTTTTATGGGATCCAATTACAAGAAGGAACATGTAATTCATGTCTAAATGTACTTGGGAATTGATCAAATGATGTAATAGCCCGCTTTGAGATCTGACATAGTTTATGAGCAAGAAAGACAGCTACTTAGTGGGAAACATTTAGAAAATAAAATTACCCACTTTTAAAGTTTTCACTGTCTTATATCTTTCTCTGATGGACTTGATTACAGGTTCTTCTGGGCATTCTGCAAAGTTTAGTGCATAGTCTCAGTAGTTTTTTGGAGGATGCTTCCAAAACAGTTGAAAACAGTAGAAGCATCCTTGCATATTCTGCATAATTTTAACAAAGTTGATGAAAGTAAACACTGTGATTGTAATCTTTAATACAAGAATGAGTTTAATATGGGGAATGACTAGGAATAAATACATTGATTTTTCTTGGCAGCAGTTGTAAATGCTGATGTCCTTTAGCACAAAATGTATGCTTTCAAGAAGAGTATTGTTATTCTGTGATTTCTTTTGCTGCATGTAAGGGCCAGTATTTTATTCAAACATGAGTGAAAGGCATTGTTTCAGTTGCTGGTTCACCGCCTGACACTTGAATGAGAGATGTTTAAGTGGAAATAGGAACATACATTTTCTGAGCCTTGTCATTTAATGGTGGGAGGGTAATAATTTCCTATTGGAATGTATACTCCAGTCTCACAGGGTTATTTGTAAGAACTGCATCACTTCTCATTATGATCATCCTCATTCCAGCGGCACTTGTGCATTCAACGCATGGTTTCTGGTTATGATGTTATGAGGGTGGAATGATTGCATCTATTCACCTTTCATTTGTGTGTTGATGTGGCATTTATATTAAGTAGGAGTAATTTTTTTTTCTGATTTTTTTTTCTTGTGTCACCAGTGCACCTATTCCATTCTTCCATCGCTGTGCTCCTGTGAACATTTCCTGCTATGCCAAGTTTGCAGAGGCCCTGATCACCTTTGTCAGTGACAGTAGTGTCTTACACAGGCTGATTAGTGGAGTTATGACCAGCAAAGAGATTATAATGGGACTTTGCTTGTTATCACTAGGTAATTGTTTTTCTCATTACTAGCTATTTCTTAGTGTACTGCATTAGGGGATTGTTAACGCCCTCTACCACAATATGAGCAAAAACCATGTATAATAGCAATGAGCCCTTAGAAATTATTCAGAATGCTTTTTTAAAATTTTATTTGACATCTGGGTAACTTTTTCAGAAGCAATATACATATGCATTCCTGTTTTTATTTCTCTTCCACTGATTACAAGATAGAGGATGTGTGGCTGTTGATTAGCTAACATTAGTTTTGATATGGTTAAGAGAGCATCTCCATTTTCCTAATTTTTTATTATAATATTCCCCTTTCCCATTTGCAGTAATCATCTTCTGCTGATCCAAGTCCAAATAAACCTTTCCAAATAAAAAGAATAGGGTGAGAAATGCACAATAGCACACTCCTGTTGAATGTAGGGGATTTAGTTTGTCTCATTTAACATACTTGTGCAGGGATATGAGAACTATCAGAGTGAAAACAAGAAAGTTAGGTGCCTATTTGTTGTATTGTGTGTTCCTTCTTCCCTTTCCCCCAAAATTTAAAACTTCAGGCCTTTAAAATCTCAGCCTTGTCTGAAGAGCTGGAAATTCCCATCAGTATAGAGGTGCTGAATAGTTTCTATAGTTGTGAGATGCCTATAGAGTGACACTTTGCTCTGGACCAAGTATTGCTTTAACAAAGTCTTGTTGTTTAAGATGGAATGTTACCCAACCACATAAATTGCTTAACTAGCGAGCCTACTTTACTCATACCAAGTATAAAATCTGAAATACTAAAATGGGAGGATCAAGATAGTAGCCATGTATATGAGCAGTGTGTGGTATAGATAAAAACACTGTAAAGCTCTGCCAGATATAACAGTCCTTTGTTTTCAGTCTGCCTTTGTGGTAAAAAAAAAAAAAGGGTTGGGGGAGGGGAAAAAGAAAGGGGGCCAAAAAAAAAGAAGGTGCTAGATACCATTAAAAAAAAAGACACACACACATGACCATTGTGTATGTTTTCAACTGTAACTGGAAAGCTATTTATTCTTCTATCTTGATAGCTCCAGTATTTGATAATAACAGTAGAAAGATTGTTCAGAATCTAAAAGCCAATGGCTCATTAGCAGTGCTATTGTTCAGTTAAGAGTCAGAAGTTAGTACAGAGTTTACATACAGTTAATTTAAAAAATAGTTTGCATAACTTCATAGTTAAACAGAAATTATTTATTTTAAAACAACAGGTTAGACTGTGATTCAGAAAGCCAGGTTCCAGTGGCTTTCATGTAACTGCTGAATACAGACATCTATATGTAAAAATATGAATGTGCACTTGCACGCACCACTCAGTTAACCTCAGTTAGCTGTAATAGTTTTTTACCCATGACTGGCATGACATTTTGCAATACACAGGCATCATATTAACTGCACTTGTTTGATAAGTGTATTTGAGTGCAAATTCTGCTCTGGTCCTCAGGAGGTGTGCTCATGTTACCAAACTCAAACTACTATCATGTCTTGCTGTCTGTTTGGTCATTGTCTAAGTACCCCCCTGTCTGTGTGCACGCATTATGTCTTGTATTTAATGTATCATGTAAATGTATTTATGCTCTCTTTGTTTTAATCAACAGTATCAAAACAGAAGTTGTAGAGGTGCCTCATTTTATTTATTGTTCAGTAAGTTCGTAGGCCTCGGAAAATAAATCTTTGTGTAAGAATTCTGTTGGAAGGCAGTTGTCATAGCCCAGTGGGAAAATTAGGAAGGCTGTTTCTACTTGAAGTAATTGCTCTGCTTATTTTATTTGTCTTCTTTTGCAGTGTTGTCCATGATTTTGATGGTTATAATAAGGTACATTTCAAGAGTACTTGTCTGGATTGTAACAATTCTTGTCATTCTGGGATCACTTGGTAAGTCTTGTTTGTCTCCCAGTTTCTGAGTGCCCAGTTCTAATCTTCGTGCTCTGTGTCATCAGGCCAGCTACATCCTGCACAGATCTTGGGCCATGCATTTCCTTTCAGCTTTCGATTGAGTCCCTTTCAAGATACACATCAAAAATGCCACCTTAGTAATTTGCAGTCCTCTCCCAGAGACTGCGTTGCTCCTTGGATATTTGCACTCCCTGCTTGGCAGGCAGGCTTCATGTCAGCCTAGCTCACTAGAGCCCACACAGTCAGTGCGGGATATTCCTCACAGCACTTGTAGCACACCCCTAAATGTTGCCTGCAGTTCTTGACCTGCCTTCTAAATGTGTCAGCACAGCATCTAGTCCGGGTGTGTCTGATGGCACACCCGCCCCATGGGTGTACTCAGGCATGCAGGAATCAAAGGGCAGCTACTGTTTATGCAGCCTGACATGTTTGCAACCCTGACATGTTCATCAGCCCCTCAGTCCTCTGAGTAGCTCTTTAAGATCTGTTTTTGAAGAGAGAAAGCAAAGGTGCTTTTCTAGCGTTCCTAATCAGATCTGTGTATTTCCATATGACTCAGGAAGACCTGCGTGACCTAGGTCACATGTGAAATGCCATGCTGTATTGGAAGTGGCCAAAGATTGTCTCTTCCAAGATGATGTAGTTTGCATGAAAATAGCCTTATTTTATCACAATAACTTTTACATTTGTAAAACTGAAGTTTTCTATTATTGTTACTCGGTAGCTAAGCCAAAATGTATGGGCAGATGACTGTAGGGAAGGAATAAAAGTAGAATAATCATATTAGGAAGCACTAGTGATTTAATTCTTGTAATTCATGTCTGCAAGGGATGGAAAAAAATCAGCAGACCTTCTATATTTTTTCAGGATCACTTTGTTTTTCTGCTTATTGGTCTCAGGGTCTGTGACCACAGAAAAGGAAAAAAGTCATTTTTTTTCATTGATATTCTTTTTAGAAGCTGATCAGCTATGCTGAGTGACTTATTGGCATCTGTTACTATATTCTAAAAAGTTTCATCCAATACAGAAACTGAATAAGAACCAGTCATTTGTGAGACATACTGCTTATTCTGTCTTCACTGTTTGTTTAGGAGATGCCAGAAGAGCATTCATTTTAGACCTGAACAGGGTACCTTTAGCATAAAGTTGCGATCACAGAATGTGTAAGGTTGGAAGGGACCACAGAGGCTCACCTGGTACAACCCCCCTGCTAAGCTTATGCATTTGATTCAGAAATAACAAGAGAACATACTCAAAAGAGAAAGAAGTGTATCAGACGGGAGAGGTTATATTCCTGAGGGGCTGGAGACCTGTCCTTTAGAGAAGCTCTGTCTCAGAAAGATGGCTAGAATGGGAGAATAATGTTCTGGCAATAAGGCTAGGATTTTGTAACAGTGGTTAGAAGATAGTACCTCACATATTATTAGCCTCCTGTGCGTTTTACTAATGTTTGTTCCACTGCTCTTGACATAGTCTGAAACAAGTGTACCTACATATCATTAACCTGAGGTGCTTTTGCCAGCATTAGGCTGATGTTTCTTGTTTTGATTAGTCTTCCCAGGAATTGCAGACTCCTTGTTTTGTTGTTACTTCACATCATAATCCAGAAGTCCCCATCTGTTCCCCCTCCTAAATTCTTACTCCCTGCATTATTATACACTTATATACATACATACATACACCCATATAATTCTTTATTCCTTTTGTTCCTCTATTACCTGTCTAGTGAGAGCTGTGTTTTTCATTGCCGGGGCTCCTCATGAACTGGTTCATTCATGCACTTCACCCTAAAACTTGGAGTCAAGGCTCTGCAAGTCTCTTAAGTTGTTGCCGTGGGGTGAGACTGTGAAAAGAGTATATTCACTTCAGAGGAGGGCAACAGAGGAGAACTGAGCAATTCTCCCTCCCCTGAAGTTCCTGTTGGGTTGAGCATCAGTGCTCTTGAGTATTCTGTATCAGACTAAATTTATAAGAAGGAACTGTTTCCTTTCTTTGGGACTAGGTAGTATGACTATGTTATACAGAGGAGGTGTCTTTCATTTATCCTTTTTTTCTTTCTCACTAAAACATAGGTGGTACAGGAGTCCTGTGGTGGCTCTATGCTAAGAAACGAATGTCTGCCAGTGCTCTTGAGACTCAAATAGCCAAAGACAATCTTCAGGCTCTCTTGATCTATGCCATTGCAGCTACAGTCTTCACGGTATGCTTTGCTAATGAGTGTACTATTTTCTTGTTCTGACTTCCTTTTGGTCTCTTATTTTTTTTATTCAGGGGAAAGGTTTTTATTGCAGACATTTCTGAACAGTTTATTTCTGCCGCAAGTTCTGTTGCAGTGATTTTTTTTTTATTTTGTTATTTTATTTTTTTAACTTTCAGGAACTGTTCCCTAATATCTGATTTTGAGTCAGGAGAGACCTTCTAAACCCTGCAGCTACTTTCGTCTACTGTAAAATGTCCACAGGGACTTCCAAGAATAGGTACAATATTGGACTGCAAATCCAAAGAGATTTTTCTTAGGTTCCCAGTTCAGAGGTACTTAGTCATTTTAGTGTATCTAAAAGTCCTTACGACATTCCTACTTCTTGAAATTAGTTGTTCTCAAATTTGTTCCATTTACAGAAGGGTCATTGTGAACTGAAACGCTAACACTGGTTATCTTGTTTGGGCCCTGCTGTTAATTTCACAGTCACTGACTTTACTTTTAAAAATTGACAATGTTTGACTAATGTCCCAGGAATTGTAGACTCCCTCTTTTGCTCTTCTTGTTGTTTCACATCCTAATCCAAAGGTCCCTTTCTGTTCCCCTTCCTAAATTCTTACTCCCTGCATTTTTATAGATACATACATACTACAAGACCACCACACCATGGTCAGATATAAATGTTAAATTGTATTCTTTGTTAAAACTTGCTGATTTCACTGGTTTATACAACATAATTGAGGATAGAATCTAGTCTAATCTCATCAGCCTGAGGCTGGTGATGATTTCAAATACACAATTATGAGATTGGAATTCCACAAAAGTATAACCTGGAAAATAATCTATCACCAGAAGAAGCTAATAGAGGTTTTACATTTTGATTTTGTGATCTTATAAATGTGTTAAATTTAGCGTGTTTGAATATCCTAGCTTTGTGAAATAATAGCTTGCTTGTTTTTCAGTTCTCTAAAATGTGATTTGGAAACTTATCCCTCTAGGTAATCTTATTCTTGATCATGTTAATAATGCGCAAAAGAGTAGCTCTCACCATTGCCTTGTTCCACGTGGCCGGCAAGGTCTTCATTCACCTGCCACTGCTAGTCTTCCAGCCATTTTGGACATTCTTTGTGCTTATCCTCTTCTGGGCATACTGGATCACAGTCCTGCTTTTCCTTGGTACTACAGGTAAGCATCTGTTGCCTATTTTAAATAAATTTCACCTAACTTTTGTATGGTTTCGAGCAGAGCTGGCTAAAAAGCATGTGGGAACCTCTAAGAAAAAAAGCCCACCTGTTGTACTTCTGTTCTCGCCTGCTTCACTGACTTCAAAACACTTGTTTCAAGAAAGTCTTTGTGCATTGGAGTCTGCATTATCACATGGTACTTTGTGTGTTAGACTGGCTTTTTATTTTGATGCAAGTTGGCATGTTGCAAACCACAAGACTCTGTTAATACAACTTCTATAGCAATTTTTTCAATAATTCCATCTAATTTTACACAAGCAAGTTAAAAACAGCATAATCTTGCAGCTGATCTCTCCAAGTAATTGTACAGTAGCCAGTGCTCACACAGATGAAGGCATAGTAATGAAAGGAGTGTTCCACAGAATTGCTGTCTCCCACAATGAAAATATAGTGGAATTCATTTTCAGTTGTCTGTAACTTAGATGTCCATTATTATTCCAGAATTATTAGGGAGATTCTTCTGCTCTTTGTACACTGTATTCTGAGACTAGCCAATGTATTCTTAATTCCAGCCTGCTGTGAAGACCATAAAAGGTGAAAGCTTTGTTTGTGTTCGGGGTCTGACAAGACCTTCTAGAATTAGTCAGTCCTATAGGTCCAAATCTTAGTCACTTCAGCAAAGAAGCTTTGCAGATGCTTTTTAAAATGGGAGATGTCTGCGTTATTTTGCAGTGCGTTGCAGGCAATAGAGACCGTCATTCACTGTTCAAATCTAAGAATTTTGAAATGTGTTGTTTCCTGCTGATCCAAAAGTAGCAGTGTTTCAGGTCACAAAGCTATTTCACAATAATACAATATGAGTATTTTTTTCATATCCTGAGTTCTTAGTGAGGGTTGGAGGTAACACTTCATGTGTTCTTGTTCTCATTACTGTTGAAATTTTTAGCTTTCATTACATGCTGTGTGATATGCAGAAAATGTTTGCCTCTGAAAATCTCAGCCCCGTGCTTCACTCTCTGAGTCAGGTCACTGCACGGGCACTAAATTTGTAGCAGATATTGAGTGTGATATTATATTTTACTGACAGAACCCTTCAACTAGCTTTGATTCTGTAAAAGCTAATTTATCCTTTTAGCTTATATACACTCATTATCTCCACTGTTATCAGTTAGGAGTGTTCTGGCATGCTGTCAGTCTCTGTACGTGATACTGCTATTCACATTAGACAAAGAGTCAGTGAATTTCTGAATGTATGAAATCGTATGTTTAGAATCTCTACAGCTGCTCCATATGTCTGTAAATAGCTTTAGAACTGCAGACATTGTTGAAATACTTGTACAAAGACTTACCATAAGGAAAGTGGAAGTGATTTTTTGTGTTGACATATAGATGTAAGGAGCTATGAAGTTTAATATTGATTCTTGCTGTGTGAATAGTACTGATAGAGCAGCAAACTCAAATTAAGAATGAGTGAAGTAGGCTTCTATTGTGTTTAACTACAGGGAGTTTTGCCATGTGATGGTGGTTCATTGTGGAAATTTTCACCACGTGGCTGAAAATTAAAGGAAGTGTTGCAGGATTTTGAGCATGCTCAGAATAATTTTTTGTGTCTTTTTTCAAGTGCCATTATACTGATTGCCTCAAAAGCTGTATCTTTCTTAAGAATAATCTTCCTAAACATGACATTTAAAACTGTTAGTAGAAGCTAGATGGGTTCCGCTGTAACTGCTTGTGACCTGCTAATGCCATATGCTTCCTTGTTTATGAGCTGATGTAAGCACCATTTTCTTTTTTTACCCTCATTTATTTCTAGGTAGTCCTGTCCCAAATGAAGAAGGATTTGTCGAATTTCGGATGGTAGGTCCTTTGAGATACATGTGGTGGTACCATGCAGTAGGACTCATCTGGATCAGCGAGTTTATCCTGGCCTGTCAGCAGATGACAGTAGCAGGGGCTGTTGTGACATACTATTTTACAAGGTAAGGACAACTCAGATAGCTCTACCAGGAGTTGCCTAGACATTGATTTTGCAGAAATAATGAGGGATAGAGGTCTTGGGGAGAATACTTGTTTCTGTCGTGAAAGCTGGGGAGCCATTAAATTGTCTTGACTCTTTTTAAATCACGTGAAGTCCTAAAATACCTGTTTTGCTGATTATAGATGGTGTTCTTGACATTTAGGACTTGAAGTCTCATTTGCCTTGTAACTTATGCACATTGTACAGACATGGATGGTTGTTTACAAAGCAGCATGCACCTGGAAGGTCATCTGTGTTACTAATAATTAATGCTGATAAGTTCTGTAGAGATTAAAAAAATATTGACAGCATCCGATTATTATTTTAATTGCAAAAGACTGCCCTTTAAATTATTTACAGTGCTTCATTAATTTTCATTAATCTTTCTTTCACAGGATTACTTGAGGTCTTATTAGATTCATCACTTCCATATAGATTATGTCAAGATTATATACAAATAAAAAATGAAATAAACTATATGTGCATTAAAGCTCCGTATTTCATTGCTAAATTTGTGAACTAAACTGTGTGTCAGGGCATACTTTGTGCTGGCTGTCCAAGAAGGAAATACTAATTATTAGGCAATGGTTTTACAAAGCAAGAATTGTGCTTTACAGAGCTAATTTCAGAATTACGAACTTAGATTTAGTCTCTAGTATTTGAAAACATTTTGAATTTAATATTGCTTAAAATATTATCTTAAATAAGTCACCAATATGTGGCTTAAATAGCCATTTAGGCCATTTATGTTTTTCAGGAAAAAAAAGTGGTATCAGATGCTTTGTTAGTGTTTCATGAGAATAAATAGTACTTTGGTGATCTGATATATTAAATTTTGGTATGTGGAGCAGAACTATGGCATTATTTTTGGTAAGGGAAAGAAGAAAGTACACTATTACTTATTTTGGAGAGATATAGTTGAATGAAACTTCTCCACATGTCATTGTAGATCTAGTAGTTCATATGTTTCTTTAAAAAAAACAAAACACAAACCACTACATCATTGTTCAGTGACTAGATAACTAATTTATATTTCAGATGTTCTCAAAGTCTTTTCCAAATAATATAAATACAACTCCTCTGAATAAAGAACAGCATGAGTACAATACATTGGCAAGATATTTGGCAATGCTAGTTTACTTAAGAAAGGGAAAACCATATAGATGTTGGAGTGATGCTATCCCCAAGTGAAAAAGAGCATTATTATCCTGAACTCATGCGTTCAGCTGTTGGGTTTTGGTATTTGTTTCTAGGCTTTCATATGAAGATTGTTGTATGTAAAAGTTTGTACTGATATCCAGCAACCATACTCTGTTCTTGCCATGTGCTTTTAAGAGTCTGTTCTTTAAAAAAATAGATGTTTTTAAATAATGTATTAAGGTATTTTTCAAGTGGCATAATTCAGATCATGAGTGTTTAGTTGGTTTGTCTGTTTAATTGAGGCTGTTACCTGAATTGCATTTGATTCCTTTTTCTGCACTAGTCTTTAAACAGTATCAAAGACAAGGAATCAATTTACTGTGCTGTCAGAAATTCTGTCGTTTTATTAATGATTAAGTCCTCCAGTATACCAATGAAATACATCTATGAAATGATTACAAGATGTTACAGGGATGTAATCTTGTGAATAATTAAAATAGATTGAGTGAAGTGTGAGGAAAATACAGAGGAAAGAGAAAGACATTGCATTGAAATAGATTACTTAGCAACATGTATGCTTCATCTGTAAGTTTATGTATTTTCTGACACCTGAGGGTGAATGATTTTTATTTTAACCATACCCTATAATTCCATAACAGGAATCTTATTTTAAGTTAGTAAATACTCATTTCTCTCTACCGTTATCCTCTTTTTGCATTTTAAGGTACAATCATAATCTAAAAAGTGACTTAGTAAGAAAGGAAAAGGCATTAATTTGGACCCATTATTTTGCATATGAGCAACTTTCCACAGCAAATGAGATGAAGTTATCCATGGAGAAATGTTTTATATAGGTTCACTGTTCATTCACCTGAGCCAGATGGATTTCTTTCAAGTCAGGCAATAACAGAGCTCAAAGTGTTCTGAATTACAGGCTCTGCCCTGAAAATGAGGAACCTGAAACTTTTTACCTGAAAACAAGGAAGTGTTTAGGTTGTCAGACTCAAACTATTTATGCATATTCTACTCTCAACAAGGAGTAGAGTTTGGCTTCCCACCCCCTCAGCTCTAAAAATCAACTGAAAAAAAATACAGGGTTGACCTATTTTAGTCATTAACATCTCAGGATTAAGTTATGCAGATATTAGTTTCATGGAATGAAGGCTGTACTTTTTTATCTTTTCTGAATGAAACTCACATCTCTTCCCGAGCTGGGGAGATACTTTATCTTTGTAATGTGCAGCACATGTTCCTTTAATATGCTTATTATCCTGCTCTTATTTCTAATAAAGAAGAAGAGCCATTCTTTAAATGGTTCATAGAGCTGTTCTTTAAGAGAGAAATAGAAGTGGCTTCCTTGGTAGGAAAGAAAAATAAACACTTTAAGAAGGAGTAGCTTCAAACCATGAAAGTGAGTATTCATCTGATAAATTAAAAATACTCTAGCTGCATTGGGTTAAATAATTTGTTTAAGGCCCAGCACTTGGTGCCTTGAGGATATAATAGCTAAATCAGAAATGCAAAAAATCTGAGAAAAAGAATTTGCCTATAAAATTAGTTATATCCTCTCCAAAGTCTACATAAAGATCTCCAACAGAACAGGAGAAAAGTAGAAGGCAAGTTTATAAGTACTCTGACTAAAAAAAAATACTAGCACTGTTTCTCACTTCTTTGTAGGGTTTGAATTGCACGCCATCAGATGTAACTTTATAGGAACTGCTAGGTGTTAATAGTGGGTAATGCAGCTAATGCTAGTAAAACTATCACCAGTTAGTGTTTTAAGTCACTTAAAGAATCACCAGCAAAGGTATCAGCAAAAGCAGTTTTAATATAAAGGTAAAAGTGTGACAGAAATCATTGACAAAGTTCACTCTACTACTTACTAGATGGCTAAAGCACGTACAGAAAAAAATAGGAAAAAAAATCTAAAAATCTAAAATCAATCAAACTAAAACTAAAATCAACCTAAAATTATTTATGCAGAGGCTGGGGAAGGAAAAAAGATAAGGATGGGAGAGTGTATGGATAAAAAGGAATGACAGAGAGCCTCCCATTGAGTCACAAGGTTCAAAGTGGACCGCCTTGCCAAATTTAGCCCTGGACTTAACCAACTTAACAGCACTTAAAATCACTTAATCAATAGCCTAATTTAAACAATTTAGCAAAAGATTCTGTAGAATTTATTATAAGCACAACAGTAACTCATTTAGAGGCCTAACTTACTGACCAATATAACGCTCATAGTACATAGTACATGCACACGCACACGCACAGGCCTAAAGCAGTGTATACAAGGTATCCACCTGTGAAAAATTCCCCCCAAGTTCACTGAAGTTCTCACATCAGACGCCTTTGCATCTTCTCAGCTGGCAAAGGTTGAGCTTTGAGGAGTGGAGATATCAGCCCAGGCTCCATTGGCAGCACTTGACATCAGTCCTCCAAGTACACCAAACTTGGGAGTTCTGTGGCTCTGAGAGGCATCAGAGGGAGATTGCTGGTCACAGACAGGAGTTTATAGGGTTGCAAGAGCATTTGCTTTAGTAATAGGAATTTTCCATCCTTGCTGCAATTTGGGTCAGTAACTTTCTTGGAAAGTTCAATAACAAAAATGTTGTTCCAGTTATGTTGTTATTCAGGCACAAAAAGCAAGTTTCCAAGGCTGTTCATTAAAAAACAGGAGCTCATTAGACAGGACAGGTTCCTGGGAGCAGACAGTGTTTCTGATATACTCAAGAGGAGCTCAGCCCAGGTGCCCTTTGCCGAGGCCTAACGAGCATTTCTGAGATCCTAGTGCAGCCCAAAGAGGGCGGGGAAGAAGGGGATGTACCACCACACTACCCATATTGATTCCTTATTCTAGTCCTACTTCTCCATTGGAGACAAATCTGTGAGTTACACAAGGTGGAGTGAACAATACACTCTGAAAGCTAGTATGAGGATAACATATTCCTTTTGCACCTTATTTTATTGAAAATTTATAGCACTTCTAGATGGTACCACATACATACTGATCATTCTACTTCATTTTTTTTTCTCTTTTCAACAGGGAGAAAAGAAATCTGCCATTTACTCCTATTCTGGCATCTGTTAATCGCCTTGTTTGTTACCACCTAGGAACAGTAGCAAAGGGGTCTTTCATTATCACACTAGTGAAGATACCACGAATGATTCTAATGTATATTCAAACACAACTCAAAGGAAAAGTAAGAGAAATAAGTTCAATTTTCTTACTGAAAATTAAGGCCTGGTGTGTTGACCTGTTAATTTAATCAGTGTGGGAGGCTGGAAGTCTTGTTTTGGAATAAGTTAGATGTAATGAAGAAATTCTTCACTGTAAGGTGGTGAGGCACTAGAACAGGTTGCCCAGAGAAGTTCTGGACGCCCCATCCCTGGAAGTGTTCAAAGGCAAGTTGGATGGGGCTTTGAGCAACCTGGCCTAGTGAAAGATGTCCCTGCCCATGGTGGAGGGAGTCCCTTCCAACCCAAACCGTTCTATGGCTCTGTGAATATTGAATCTTTAAAGGGTCATGGGACTGATATGGATTGCTTGATTTAACAATCTGAGTATCAGTTACTGAAACACAAAGGAATACTATTTTCTTAAGATCTGTTGGTTTTACTCTTTATCTTTGTTTTCCCACATTATGTGCTTTCCTAGGAAAATGCTTGTGCTCGCTGCATGCTTAAAGCCTGCATCTGCTGCCTTTGGTGTCTGGAAAAGTGCCTGACATATTTAAATCAGGTAAGATTTTCAATATTCATGTTTTAAGGGCTGATAATAGTATATATATTCCCAGACTGCAATCTGAGGCTGACACATAATGTATTGTACTTGGGAACTGAACTTGAATGACGGTATTTCAGTCTTGTCTCCATTACTGAAATTACACTGCAAATACTACATTGACCTTTGCAATGTAAATGAAGACAAAAGAATAGCCAACACTCATCTTTGTGAACATGGTATCTCAACTTTATAACGATTTGTGTAGTGGTTGGAGATGTTTTCCCATATGTCTACTCAGTAAAACTACGTCTGAATTTCAAAATGTGTCTCCTATGAAAACAGAATGAAGCTTTTTAGGTGTAATATTTAAGATTCACACAATGCAGAAACTGTACAAAACATCAAATCGTCAGCATCATCTACAAAGTGGAAGAAGATTTGCAAGTTGCAACACGCTGGCTGGTCAGACCCATTGTAAAAATGGGCTTATAAGCCTGTAGTCCATCTCTCATGTATATATATAAATATCTTGCTAACATTTCTTTCACTGTTAATTTTTTTTTGCTTGTGGAAATATAGAAAACAAAATCAGAAGAAAGCATTTAATAAACCCCATTGTAATCCCTGAAAACTGTCCTGACTAACCTTGAATGCAGTATCTAGAAATTATCTTGTTTGACTTGTATGACTCTCAGACTCCTTTGTATTTTCAGATTTTTTTCTAACTACTTAATTTCTGTAGCTATGCCACTGCTCACCTCCTTCTGCAGAGAAATTGCAAATCCTGTTTAATGAGGTTTTTTGAAAAAACTAGTTAATGCATAAATTATGAGCAAAGGAGAAGAAGAATAGCAGTTCTTTACCTCATATAGTCTTCTGTCAGCTGCTATATATTGCTTGATTCAACAGCTCTCAGGGGAATGTTGGTTCATTAACATCATATGACAAATGTGACTTACTCAGGAGCTGTATCTTCCCCCTCACCTTCCCCACCCTCCATCTGAAATACCTGATCATTCCATGTATAAGTCTTCAATCTCCTTTTCCTAGAATGCATATACAGCCACAGCTATCAACAGCACCAATTTCTGCACCTCAGCAAAGGATGCCTTTGTTATCCTGGTGGAAAACGCTTTGCGAGTGGCTGCCATAAACACAGTTGGAGATTTTATGCTGTTCCTAGGAAAGGTATGTCTGCTGTATACAGTTCTTACAGATCTACATAGAAGCAAGCTTTCTTTAGCAATGGCTGCACTCCAAACACAAAATGCCTTAAAAATCCTGTTTCTTAGTGTGCACTTATCACGTCCAGCTGCATCACATTAGGAGGGGCTTTGTAGAATAGGGAGGATAAACAAATGATCTACTGACATGTAGTAAAAGTGACTAGAGAGGAATACCTGAAGATTATGACACCTTTTGCATGATTTATTTTTTAGGGAGTCAAGAGAAAAGTGTTTAGAAGTTCTAAGGTTGTGTTTGATTTTGTGGTTAAAACATAGAATTCTAAGGAGAGGAAGCGTTTTTTTAAATTCTGTTTAGTAAGGGCTCTCCAGGTTTATATTGAAAATTTGACACATTACTGATCACCATTATGACCAAATTGGACTGGAAGGGAGTACAAAAGCCTGCTATGAGAAATTGCCAGCTTAAGCAACTAATTAGCTCTGACAATTAAAAGGAGACTAGAATAGTTGCTGTGGTCAATCAGCTTTTTGGGATTCCAACTTTATGGAAAATGTAGTATTTCTATCCTTAGAAGGATTTTATGCCATTATTTACTAAAACAATTAATACCAATCTACTTAAATCACCTGAGCCTAAGCATTTGGACACTGGTTGAACTCATCTCTATTTCTTATTACACTCCTCTACTTCTGTTAAGTCAGAGTACAATGGGCTGAACTTTGAATCCAGTAACTAAGCTAGTAAGATGTGAGAAGGAATAAACACATAAGGGAGACATAAGTGCTTGGGAGAACATGAAATTACATAATGCAGTTTTGTGAGGGAGTTGGGAAACACCTCCCTTTCTCTCAGATTGTTAGAAAAATGCACAGGTGACAGAAATGTTAAAATGAACAGTTCAGCAGGTAAAAAATACTATCAGCTAAATCAGTGCTAGGCTGCCAGCATCTCCTCTACAAGTCCAAAATGGTATTTTCATAAAAGCTGACCTATTTTACAATTTTATGTTTAGCTGCAGTTCATAATAATAGGTTCAGAAATGTTCAAAAAGTTAAATGGCCATAACAATTTAGCCCATTTGGTTTTGCCAAAATCAAACTGGTACCTGGTGAAATGTTTGTTAGGGCCTCACATGAAGTATAATTCTGTGGAGACTGTTACATGAAGTGCCTCACATGAATTCTGGTCTACTTTCTCCTGTATGGAGGTGAGATAAAGACTAGAAAAGTTTGGAAGTTGTTTCCAGCAGCAAAATGGAAAATGTACCATCCTCCTAAGACCTAAGTTCTCCCTCCAACCAACCAAAAAAAAAAAACAACTGCATGTGATTGGTAGCATCAGGTTGTTGATGAGAGGATAAAGTTCTTTTCCACAGGAATGTTCTATAAAACTAGAACTATGACAGCAGAATATAAATATAATTTGCTCTGAAAAATACCTTTTGTATTAAAGGATGTGTAACAATTCTGATATCAATGGATAACATGTCATTTATAATTGGGGATGTGGGGAATCCCGGAGGTAAAGATGTTGTTACCACTGGCATCTGTAACCCCTAACTCTAGCCCTGGCAGACCAAGAAGCACATTGGCTTTAAAAAAATAAACCAAGCAAAAAACATCAAAAGGCTTCTGCCATTAGAGTTGTCTACTGTTTTCTTCTTCAGGTCCTGATTGTCTGCAGCACAGGTTTGGCCGGCGTTATGTTGCTGAATTACCAACGAGATTACACCATCTGGGTGCTGCCACTCATCATTGTCTGCCTCTTTGCATTCCTGGTTGCTCACTGCTTCCTTTCTATTTATGAAATGGTTGTTGATGTCCTTTTCTTATGTTTTGCCATCGATACAAAATACAACGATGGGAGTCCTGGGAGGGAATTCTACATGGATAAAGTTCTCATGGTAAGTTTCCTCTTGCTCTCAAAGTCTAAGGATCTGGTTCCATAAAATAGGTATTTTGACAGTGGAATGAATTCACTTGCTGGTTTCAATGTTTTTGTTTTTTATTTTTACCTTGCCATCTTGTTCATGGCTTGACCTGCAAACAGTGTAATCTGATGAGCATCAGATAAGTAATGATGTTTCCTTCCCTTAGTTTCACTGTTATTGGCTTCTATTTGCTGCCTGTTAGATGAGCAGTCATCTTGCAGAATCATACTCTTGGGTATCATGTCTTGTAAATGACACTGCAGATTAGAAAGAAGCAAAACAAGAGGGAAAGGCTTGGTTTTGTGCTTTCCTAAGAAGGACGTCTTTTTGGATAGGAAAGAGAAAAAATATCAGAGTATTCTACATAGATAATGACCACAGTGGAGTTTTACTTCTTTCAGATAGACATCAACCAGACTTTGACTCTGTCTCTCATACATAGGCTTTATGCTAGAAACAAAGTTGTAAGAATTCTGCTTCCAAAGCCCTTCACTTTGTTGTTGAGTAGGTAGTTTTCTTGAGAGTGTTTTTAAGTAGCAGCTGTAGAATATGTCTCTGTAAAATGCCCCCCCCCCCCATGTGTAGGCTAGAGAAAGATTCTTATGACTTCTCAGCCTAATTTTTTTTCTGACTATGTGTAGGAAAACCATGCCAAGAATTTTGGTGCTAATTTTTTGGTAAATCACAACAGAATCTAGAGTATAAAATAAATAAAGTGGTGGCTGATGAGTTGCTTTTTAGCAAGAAACACCAATAAACCATAAAACCATTGTAGGTTTCTTTAGTCAGCAGTCAAAACACAAAACACGAGCAGCTAAAGTTTACTGAAATTTGCTGCAGAATGCTTGCCTGCAAGAGAAAAAAAATTGTATCAAATTGAATTAGCTTTTCTAATGTTTGTAAATAGGAGATTGTACTGGTGAAAAATTTAAGAGGTTGAACTGAGGAAAGTTAGGGAAATGGACCACACCTTGAGAGTGATTATCTCTAAGTCGCTCTGTTTAATGGAGTTGGAACATTACACACAGTTCACAGGCTACAATGCAATAGCTGAGACTAGGATGGTGTTGGGGGGAGGTTTGTTGTGGTTTGGTTGTGGGTTTGGTTTTTGGTTTTGGTTTGTGGGTTTGGGTTTGGTTTTTTTTGGTCAACCAGCCTTTTACCTTCTTTCCCCGTAAAGGAGAGCATTGCGTGGTACATGGAAAAGTTGTAAGAGCACACCAGGCAAATACCTGTCTGGCTTCCAGAATTAAATGAGGGAGGCCTTTGTGGATATTTGGCAGGCTTTTCTGATACCTTATGGTCAAGTCTGAGCAAGAGATGCAGATGGGCTTGATATTTTGAGCAGTTGCATCTTGAAGTTCTGTCTTGAGACTTGATGTTTTACAGTCTGCGCTAAGAGAGCACTTGTCATTTCATTACTGTTTTTCAGGAGTTTGTGGAGAATAGTAGGAAATCTATGAAAGAAGCTGGCCGGGGAGGTGGAGCTGAGAGCAGAGAGCTAAAACCAATGGTAGGTGCAGATGAGGAGGTGGCGATCCTCCAAGAGTTTCACTTTTACTTCTTCTCCCTCTTTGTCTTTACTGACTGCACTTCTTCAGGAGAAGTTTTTGTTCTCTGTATCACTCAAGATGTTCTGCTTTTTCTGTTTGTGAGCTTGCCTATCACCTGGATGGCAGAGTTTTTGTCACAGCTGAGACCATCTCCTGTAAAAGTAAGATGAAAGGAACTGTCTCATATGAAACAAATGCAGTATCATTTCATTAGGATTCGTGATGCATGCTATGTGGTATACACAGACAGCCCCAGTTGCTGTATAGTCTAAAAATAAGATGGCTCTGAAATTCATTGGGCTATTCTGACTTTAATCTCTTCTCAGCCCTGAGATGAACAATTTTTGCTCATCTTACATTCACTGCAAAAGCCTGAAGAACACTACTGAGCGCAGCCATTGTTGCAAAGTAGGGCCAGGCATTTAAAGCCCTCACCAAATTATCTTACACCATGCCAAGGAATTGGATACAGTGATTCCTTTCAACCTGCTCAAATGACATTTCTCCCAGTTGTTTGTTTTTATTGCAAACTACTTATGTTGCTTGTCTCTTGTGTGCTCTTTCCATCTCACACTGTCAGATGCACAGACAGTGAACAATGCATCATTTATGCTTTTGCAGCCTGTTTTACTTATGGTGTGCCTGTTAGGAAGGCATTGCATGTCTGAGTAGCCTGGAATAAGGAACACTATACATGGTACAGATAACAGATAGGAGGATAAGTTTGGAAGGTGGAGAACAGAGAGCGTATAATGGAGAGCCAGTCTGGGCAAGGTATGACTTGTCATCGTGCAATATGATTTTGTGAAATAGAATATTTTTCTGCCATTACTTTCTCAGAGTGTTTGGGGTCTGAGTCATTTCCATACTATGGGGATAATTTTTTAACCAAATGGAATCTAAATAAGTGTATGCTAACAGAAGAATTTATTTTTTTTCAACAATGTACATGAAGCCATTTTGCATGAGCACTTTTTGAACAAGCTGGAATGGGGTTCCTGCTATAGACTGATGTGTAGCTTTGCGTGTTTTGCTATTTCATTATGGCATACCAGTTTCTAGATTTGCTTATGCCTAAATGCTGCTGTGTTTATACATATGAAAAACTAATTCTATGCTTATTTACTGTTTCTTCTGGGAGTAATTCTAGCTGTTCAAACAGACACTAATGTTGGGATTTTCAGAGTGATCCAAATGCTGTAGATGCAAATGTGCCATTAAAAATGATTGAAAATTGGGTGTGCAAACCCTCTAGTCACATGCACAAAAATTTCAGTTCAAAATTTTATTATGTAGTGGTTTTCCACTTACACTGTTGTCGGTACTATCACAGACCGCTACTTATACTTTTGTACTTGACTGCCTAAAGCTTGGTTGTGAAAAACCTTTACTCACCCCGCCCCTTATAAAAGGGCAAACCAAGTACCTGCAAGTCAAGGGTGGTGTTATTCTTGTAGGAACTTGTTTCTAGGCACTTGAGCCCAGTAGTGGCTGAAAGTCCTAATAGGACTACTGCAGAAGATGTTGAGCACTTGGGGCTCAGCGTGGGAGTCACCTGCTGAATTACTCCCAGTTCTGCTGCTCGTGTGATTGTTTTGTTTGGAACTGATTGGGCCTTGTTTTCTCAAGTGGCTTTCCATTTTTGGGCATTCAGCTCCAGTTGAGTGGGTTTTGAAATACTAGGATCTCACTTCCTGACAAGGATGGGACACAGCGGTTGGCTCCATTAAATTTGTGATACCTTCCCCCAAAGCGTCAATAAAGGCCTCAGTTATGTCTGGCACAGAACCATTCATAAGTCTATTCTGTAATGGTAGTGCCCATAGCCTCAAAATTGCATGTCTGAAAATCAGATTACTACTACTTTTTTTCCTCTTCTTTTAGAAATAGAATCTTTACTGTCTTGCTTCAGTACCCTTGAAATGCAGATATGTCTTAGAATATGACAATTATTTCTAAAAGTGAAACACCCTAAGTGCAGTTGTACTTAAAGTAGGTATTAATAGCAGAGACGAGGAAACATTTAGGACCTTCTGTTCCTGTATCAGGGCACAAGAAAAAAAAAAAACACCACCTTTTCACACTTTTTTCTTTATGGCTTCCAGCGACCCCTTTGACTCAGTTTCTACTTGTCCTTTGGCATTTGTCTAAGACTGTACTGTATGACTTTGTTTTCTAGGCCTCTGGAGCAAGTTCATCTTGAAACTAGCCAGCCATATTGGAACCCATTGACATTCCAAAACAGTATATATATACATATATACATACATATATATATATATATAAAAATAAACAGCCAAAATCAGAGAAAAGGAACAGGGATTTAAAACTTTTTTTAACAATTATTTTTGTGAAACATGTACTCTTTTCATACGGGTGGCTTTTACAAGCAGCTTTATCATTGTTCCATTTCTTAAATTATTCATTGTGGTCATGGAAATGTTGATTCTTATCTGCTTGGTATTTTACAATCTGGAGGAGGTATCGTTGTAAAGATAATCTGAAATCATGACTGGGTTTAGAGACAGATTTCCCATGACATTGCTAATCTGCTGAGACTTTTACTTGTTTAGTTTCTTTTGAATTTGCATTAAATTTGGGACAGTCACATGTACAGAAAACCTTGAAATCAAGAAAAGTCTTAAATTTAGTTTTTCAGAAGATGGTTTCAGTGAGAATTCATTCAGTTCAAATTGGTTTGTAAGCAGTTATTTTACTTTACAACCCTGGCAGGGCACAGTTTTGTTTACCAGTATCAGACATCACAATAACCAACTCCTCAGGTATTCAGGTGTGTGGGAGCCCTTGCATCTCCTATTAAACAGAACCTACAAAATGGGGACAGATAATTTTTATATGCAATCAACTTCCTGCTTTACCCTACTTGCCCCCTCATACCCGTTGCCCTCTATCCTCCCCTTGAGTTCAGTAGCCTCCTTCACACTTCAGCAGTGTTCCTTTGAAGGGTATGGATTCTGCATATGGGCAATTGAAATAACAGATTGATAAAGCTCAGTCTTAGCCATACTCATGATTAATTCATGACTAGATACAAAGATGCTGAGGAGGGGAAGAGAAATGAACTGTACTACTGTACATAAAAAAGTACTGTATGCTTCATTTCATTTAATGCCAGAGAGCTCTGGGAGGTAGAAGGGATCATTCCTTGCCTGTTGTTTGATCCATATATGTATGTACTGTAGTGGGTGGCTAAAATGGGAAAGGGCAGAGAAACATTTCTTTGGAAGTGTAGCTGCCAGGATAGTTATCTGAAGTTATTAAATAATGACAAGAGAACATGCTTTTTTATTAGTAGTAGTAGTACAAAATTTCTTTTCAGTCTGGAAGCTCGCCAGATATGAATGCTAATATTCAATTATTCAGCATATTGTAATGGTAAATGCTTAAGTGTATTTGCTAAGAATTCATGATCTGTCTATGCTATATATTCCTTTTGTTACAATTTTTTTAAGAAAACTATTTTTGTTAATGTAAAGTTAATATTTCAGAGCAAAATTTTTAAACTTATTGCACTAAATACAAGCTCTCTACAAATAAACGATGCCTCAATGGTACAATCACTCCATTCAAGAAAATCTTTTGAAAGAGAAAAGTCTTTCTACAGAAGCTTTGTAATGGAGTAGAGAGGTATGTGTAGGTAGAGACATGCACAACTCATGTTATCAAGGTTTAGTAAATAAGCAGTTATTTGTGCTTCCTGTCAGAGGATCAGACTTCCAAATTGCTGCTGAAGGTTTAAAAAATTATGTAGTATCATGTAGCTAACTAGTGCTCTTATCTTTTGGCAATAGTAAAATATTTCACTTTTGCTTCCAGAAGGCATTTGATAACTTAAATTTGTTAGGTTTTCTTTTGGTAAGCCAGTTAAAAGAAGGATTTACACTTTTCATATCTCAGACCCCAAACTATGTGAGAGGTGTGAAAATAAAGATACATGTAGAAAGGATAGCTGCTGGGGAGGCAGAGAGACAGAATTACTCAGTCCTGGAAGCACTTAGACACTAATTTAAGTGAACCATATCGGTACCTCCACTAACATCAGAAGGGCTCTCTAAGTATTGAAGTTGTAACTCACACATCTGTGTAAGTGCTAACTGGGCTAGAGCTTCCATCTAGGGATCAAACTGGAGCACTACTGAGGCCTCTCAGTGCAAGTCAGAGGTCAGACTTGCCTAGAAGAAACACTGGAGCAGTCTTACTTTTGTGGAGAGGAGACCTTCCTGCTGCACCAGTGTCTAAGACAGCAGTGGCTCTCAACACCAATATTTGTGTAGATCAGGAGGGTTTAACCACGCCAGAAATTTAAAAACTGGCTTAGATGAATCCTAGAAACTGGATTCCAAGGCTAAAAGACTTAACAAGTACCCAGTTGCTTCCAGAAAAATTAATTTTCTTCTTGTTTGGAGGCTATTGGAGGTGCTTAATCAAAGAAGCCTTGTATTCTGCGCATTTTGATAAAAAAGTTCTGCCATGACTGGTCCCGCAAGTTTGTGTTCCCTGCTCACTGGAAGTCCTGAGTGGGGACTTTTCTCTGTAATTGCAACTAGGACTGCAGTTGGAAACAAATTTTGTATTTTTGTATTACTTGACTGTGCACCATTTTTATAGCAGTTTATCCTGTCTTAAAAATAAATCTGTTTTATTTACATGGTGTTTAAAAGATACAGGCAACACTTTTCTATGGGTAGTTGTAATGTTTAAGTGAGAAATCTATATCATTACGAAGTTCTTAATAAAATTGTGTGCACCACTCTTGAGTGTATATCTGGCATGCAGAGCTTTTAAGTCATGCCAAAAAGGCATTCCATCCACATGCAGATTTTCCAGTGGCCCTTTTAAGCTTTTGAATGTCCTTTGAAGTTCATTTGCAACCAAACTACAAGCTGCCCTCTTCCAGCCCTGTCTTGTGCAGGGAGATAAGCAGAAGACAGAGTTCTGAAGAGACAACTTTTCAGGAGAAATTGAGACTCTGCTTTCCTTTCCTAGTGGGGATAGTGGAGCGAGAGGACACTTTGGCATGTAAATTGCTATAGAAATGTTGGCAGTAGGGGTGCTGGGCTCTGCCAGTTGTGATGGATTCAATATTTTTTTTCTGACTGGTGGTTATTAAAGCCAGTATGTGGACTGCTTTGTGGGAAGCAGTCTAGACTAACTAGAGAGCGATGCTGCAGCGAGAATAACAATGCAGGAGGAGCAAGATGAGACAGCTGAAACAGAAATCATCTCCTTGGCAAGTCCATTGAACCAAGTACTGCTTGAGGACTGGAGATTTAGACTGGACAATCTGGGTTTAGAAACAATCAGTGGGATTGGTTTCCGCAGATGGTCTGTATCATAGCCTCTGACCAGCTAGGTTACAAAGGGAAAAAAGTATACAATTCTTTAAATTGCTAAAATTTTTTCCACATTATTTTACTTACTGTTTTATTTGGAAGTTGAACAGCAGTGCGTAATCTTTATTGCTTCTTCCAACCCTGGAGGATTTTTTTTTTTGTTCTTTTAGGTCTCATTTCTGTATTACTCTTTCAGTAAAGGAGTGCCAAGTGGCAGTGTCAGCTCCCCTTTGCCCCATTGATCTTACCGCATTCCCTCTCACCTTCCTGAGGCAATGATTTAGGATATCACCTGGACTGAATGAGAGGGGGAGTAGGTGCTGAGCTAAAGTCCTAAGGCAGGATTTTTTTTTTATGATATCACTCCATCACTGTGGTTAGAAGTGCAACCCACCTCTTCTACAGTTTCACTGCTGCTCCACAGCTAGGCTGCATCTTCAGCCTTCTCGTAGCACCCAGCTGCCAAAAACAGGATGGGGTTTTAAATGTGGCCTTAGCTTGGCATGGTAACTGAAGGACTTTCTGCATTAGGGAAGTGCGTCCTAGAAGGGAGAGCTAACAGTGGAAAACCCAGTTAAAATGCTGCGGTGGGTTGACCCTGGCTGTCACGTAAGCTGCTACTCTGTTGCTTGCTCAGTCCCCACAGAAGGATGGGAGAGAGCAATGAAAGGACAAAAGCACTGATATAAAGGCAGTTCATTAAGTAAGAGAAAAAAAGAGAAAAAAAAAAAGAAACCCAAGTGATAGAAAGGCAATCACTTACCATCTCCCACCAGCAGACAATGCCCAGCCAATCTCCAAGCAGTGGCTACTTTGGAACCACCCCAGTTTTATAGCTGAGTATGACCTTATATGTTATGGAATATTTCTTCAGTCTGTTCAGGTCAGCTGTCCTGGCTGTGTGCCCTCTCACCTCTTTGCCCAACTCCAACCTACTCTGCTGGAGTAGTAGAGTGACAAACAGAGAAGGCCATTCACCCTGTGCAAGCACTGCTCAGCAACAGGTAAAGCATTGTGTTATCAAACACTCCTTTGGTTGCAGATCTGTAACACAGCACCTTGTAGGTTGCTGTGAAGGAAATTAATCAAGCCTAACCCAGTACACAGGTCCACTTACCCAGTAGTTAGTCCAAGACTTGCTCCCTGCATTTCTGTACAGCATCTTCTCAGGGTGGTTACTTCTTTCTGAAAGGGCTTTTTTGCAGCAGGCAATTAGCCTGCTCCACAGTGCTCCCTTTCATGGAGGGAGCAGGGGATGTTAGCTCTTACTCTTTCAGCACATAATGGGGATATAACGCAAAAATGAGCCCTTTCTGTATCAGTGTTCTGGCAATCGAGCAGCCAGTGTTGGAGACAACATATTTAATGTGCCCTCAGGGCATGCACTTTAGCGGTTTGCTCCGAGTGGTTATGATGTATTCTATGAATGTATGTTATAGAGTCAGAATAAAATGCATGTAGCAGACATATACTTGTCATCCAGTGAGCATTTGATTCAGAGTGCATATTACATGCTATATTGAACATGGCACAGTCATTTTGAGAAACAATCGTAAGATTTATAAGTAGATACATGACAGCATTCCTGTTTTTTAGACCATGGCTTTGCCTGTGCAGATAATGTTTACTAAATCTAAGTATCAGTAGCCCATTGTTTCTTGAACAGCTTGTGTGTCACATTATCAACACAAAAATCCTGTTTCATCTTTGTGAAAAAAAAAACAACACTAACCTTGTGTTTCCCAACACAAGACCCAACAGACTTATTTGAAGCATTTCTTGCACTCAGCTTCTTTGTTGAGATGATGAAAGTTTACTCTAAATATGTCATTTCCAAATGGTTTTTCAACTATTTCATCTCTGCTGTTATTTCCATCACATAACAAGATTATGGAAACTAGTAAATCTATATTTCTTGTGTTCTGTAGAGAATACTGTTCTCAAGGTATTTTTTTCTTTTATATTTAAAGAGGTGAGAGAAGAGATGAAACTTGTCTCTTGTGATGTGGGTCACATATAAAAGGCAGAATTTCTGGTCTGGGATGGAGCTGTGATGTGTCTTGCAATGTTCGCAAGCTGATGCAATCAAGCCAAAGCTCCTCAGAGACTTTAGGATTATGAAAATATTTCTAGGGACAATTGGTAGCATGAATCAATCTGAAAATACCCATTTGGAGGCTAAACTATTGGAGGCATTCATTTGGCAGAGATCTGCTAAAAGGGAACTAGCAGAAAACCAGCAGACATCCATCAGATTCTACTCCCCTGTCTCACTGAGGTCAGGTCATTGAATGTGAGTGTGATGAGCAGAATTTGGTGTTTTAAGCGTTTGGTACTTTTCTACAGAAACGTGGGACTCCACTTAGAACCAAAGTTGCAAGAATTTGGAGCAAAAGTACCAGCTGACTTGAACAGAACTAGTCTAATTTCAGTGATGTTAAGGACAGCTATGACCTTTCTAAGTATGTGGCACCATAGGTAGCTGCCATTCCTCAAGTGGACCACCACTCCTCTGTGGCTTGAGTGGAAATAGGAAAAGCTAGGGAGTTATTCCAGAAACACTTGGTAAGATTAGCAATTTTGACTACTTGTGAAACCCAGCAGAAATTGGGCACTGACTAGTGTTCCTGCCAAGGTCACAGTTTTTAACTCTCAAATACCACGTGTGGTCCATGTTAGTATTAGTTGGGTCCCTCCCTGCTGCTCAAACTGAAATGGGAGAATATCTCTCATTTGGAAAACAGTGCTGCAGACAGTGTCGTAGAGCATCCTGGGGGAGTGAGGGAGTAGAAAATAGAAAGGTGGCTTTGTTTCTAATGTGGGCTAGAAAGCAGAGGTCAAAGGTTAGGTGGAGCCATGGAGAGCAGGATTTCACAGGTAGAAAATATTCTGCAGAATCTTCACAATAGTTAAGGAAATTCATGTTCCAATTCAGACATCTCACAGCAACATCCCCTGTGTCCTGCTTTTATTTTGCCATGGAGCTCTTCAGAGCAAAAATGAAGGTGGAATCTATACCTATAGAAAAGAATTATTTCTGTATGATGGATTGTGTTGCTGATTACAGAAACTACCCTAAGGAAAATCATCTGAACATATTTTAAAGGCTTGACAGTACTTGCATTGTCATAGTCCATCAAAGCTTCATCTGAAAACGAATTTTTCATCCTCCTTCACTCATATTTCTAACAGGGCAATCAAATCCCTGGACTGACTTAGTGATTTACATTGAATCAAGATCAACTAACAAGTGCTCCTTTTTCCAGTGGAATGCCACCTCCTTTGAAAATGGGAAAAGTAAATGTGACACTGTTTATTGTTGTCTTGGGAACTTAAAATGTTTTATACTGCAAGCTGTGAATGCAGGAAGAGAAGAAAAATTAACAGTGCTGATCTAATCTTAGATTTTCTGTGTAAACTGACATTGTGCCAGGATACTGATGCAAAACTGTATTTTAGTCTAAGAAATGTATAGATTTTTTAATGTATCAAAATAAAGTTTTCCTTTTAAGTAAGAAAGAAATTTCTGTGTCTTCCATGCGGGGTGCTTAAGTCCCACTCTTCTTAACAATACAATCTCAAGTTCCTGAGAAGCAAGCAGAGGCCATGCAAGTGTTTGCCCAGGCTTCACTTTGTTCTGTGCCTGCCCTTTAGCTGAGTAGCTGCAGTAATGCTGGACATGTTGTCCTGGTGCCAAGAGAAGCATTGTGATGCTTAATGTTTTCCTAAGATGGGTGTGCCAGTGGGGTTTTGTAGAGCAAAGGTGGGGGTTTTTTTACTGTCTTTCTTCTCACTGATCATCTGCTCCTCGGCTTCTCCTCCAGCATGTTGGAAACTGCCCCTCTAGGCCAACATTTTCACCCATCATCAGGTTCCTTAGCCTGCAGGGTGTGCTGAAGGTCAGTCACATACAGAAGCAGTTGAGAAGCTTTTGCTTTGGAAAGGGAGAGGCTGCAGTCACACATGCACGGGAGTCCCTTGCTCATACCCAGGACTCTCAGGACTGCTGATGCTGTCTGGAGCAGACTGGCTAATAATGTATGCTTTGCCTCCCAGGGACAGCTATGGGGGAATGATGGAAATCTTGTTATGTATTATGAGCCATGCAAACTGCACATCCCAGTGCAGCACCTCTTGTGGGACAATTTCCTTGTTCTGCAAGGTCCTGTACCTGCTCCCCACTCTGCAGAGCCGTTCTAAAAAGCCTGGATAGCTAAAGATGGATGGTGAGTGCAAGCAATAATAGTAGCTCTGTGATCTTACTAGCAGAGGCATCTGCAGTCACAAAGATTTCTTGTGCTCTCCTCTCCATCCCATGGGCACAGCTTTCTTTGCTGCCAAATTTTTTTTAATACACTAGTAAGCCAAGCTGAACCATGTTTTCTTGCTTCTATTACTCTTCACTGCAAACCACTTC